GGGGGGGTCTCCATCTGTCTGGCGGAGACACCCCAGGTGTCCTCACCCTCCTCCTCCTCCCAGAGTGGTCGCAGCGGGACCTGGCACGGGCCGAGAACGTCAAGTTCTGCCGCCAGTACCTGATCTTCCACGATGGCACCTCCGTCGTCTACTCGGGGCCTGCCGGCACCTGCTCTGAGATCAAGGACGAGTGAGTCCTGTCCCACCCTGTCCCCCCACACCGTCCTGTGCCCCACACCGTCCTGTCCCCGACACCGTCCTGTCCCCCGCACCCTAGACTGACGGGAACCCCCCTGCCCGCAGGCTGCTGAGCCAGGAGTCCCCCAGCAGGGCGCTGAAGGCTGTCCTGCGCAAGGTGCCCAGCAAGGAGAAGGAGGAGGAGAAGCAGTTTCTGGAGGTGAGGGGGAGTTAAGGCGGGAGCTGGACACTTCGTGGGGCTCGGGGCCAAATCCACACTGCGCTATGGGGCTGCTCTGGCATCTCTGCCCCCAGGTTTGGGACAAGAACCAGAATCATAGAATCATAGAATGGTTTGGGTTGGAAGGGACCTCAAAGATCATCTAGTTCCAACCCCCCTGCCCTGGGCAGGGACACCTCCCACCAGACCAGGTTGCTCAAGGCCACATCCAGCCTGGCCTTGAACCCCTCCAGGGATGGGGCAGCCAGAGCTTCCCTGGGCAACCTGTTCCAGTGAAGAGCATTGACCTGACAGCACCAGACAAGCATGGCACCATCTTCAACGATGGTGAGGGGCCAGCAGGGTGGCTGTGGGGCTTCAGCCAGGACAAGGTGCCCAGGAGCTGGTGACCACCGGACCCTTCTCCCACACAGGTCGGTGTTGGTGCAGCTGAGGCTGCAGTGTGTCACAGCAGAGGGTGCCCCTGCCCATCCACCCCAGGCATAGCCACCAGCGCAGGGCAGCTGGAGAGCTGGCACCAGGCAGGCTCCTCGCTCCCGGCTGCTCCCGCATGCCTTGGCATCCAGCCTGGCTGACGAGCAGCAGGCGCCGGCGGCCAACGCGGCAGCCATGGCCTCCGGAACCGAGCGGGGCACAGAGGTGGGCAAGGGGACCAGGGGGGGTCTGCCGGGGTGGGCACAGACTGGGGGTGAGGTTGACCCCCACCAGCACGTTTCTCCCCCACCCAGGTGGCCGGTGGCCCCGCTGCCTGCTACCAGGAGCTGAGCCGGTTCCCCACTGTCACCCGCGCCGCCCTCGGGGCCACCACGGGGGCACAGACCTTCCTGCTCTACACCGGTGAGTGACGGGCTGAGCCCCCCACGGTGCTCTCCTCCCCAGGGGGTGCGATGAGAGCAGGTGGTGATGCCCCCGCTCCCGCAGAGTGCAGCCGCCCCGACCTGCCCCGACGCCGGCTCCTGCGCTTCAGCCGCCACTACAGCCTGCAGCGCACGGGCAGCGCCCGCCTCGCCGCCCGCCGGGCAGCGCTCAGCGCCGAGATCCACCACCAGTAGGGCACGGATGGGCTGCGGGATGGGGCAGAGTGGCCAGTGCCCATGGCATGGCAGGTGCCCGTGGCATGGCCGGTGCCCATGACATGGCGGGTGCCCGTGGTATGGCTGGTGCCCGCAGCTGGCCACCCACCACAGCCTCCCTCCCTGCTGCCAACAGGCTCCTCAGCCAGGACTCACCCACCGGGCAGCACCGTGCCGTGCTCAGCCGCTGCCCACGGCAGGGCCATGAGCTGCTGGAGGTAACAGGGGCTGCCCCTGCTCACGGCAGCCTCGGGGCTCACCAGGGTGGCCGTGAGTGCCAACATGGGGTGGTGGGCACGGTGTGCCGGTGCTGACCCCTCTCCCCCCCAGGTGTGGGGCAGCGGTGGGCGCAGCCACAGTGTGGACCTCACGGCGCTGGGGAAGCATGGGGAGGTCTACACGGAGGGTAGGGTCCCTGCCCTGTGCCCCCTGCCCGCAATACAGGTAAGGACGGCGCAGCCGCTGGCCCCAGTGCCCGGCTGTGCCTGTGCCAGGCTGGGCTTTGGCACCCTCTCGCTGTGCCAGGGCCCTTCTCCTGCTTGGCTTGGTCCCGCTCGGAGACGCGGCTGCTGTACGTGGCTGAGAAGAGCCGGCCCAAACCACGGTCCCCCTGCCCCTGGGATGTGCCAGGAGCAGGCAGGCTGGCAGAGGAGGATGAGGATGAGGAGGTGGGTGCCTGTGCACCCCAGGAGTGCCCTCTGTGCACCCCGTGAGCATGCCACCTGTACCCCATGAGCATCCCATGCACCCTACAAGTGTGACATACACCCCATGAGCGTGCCGGGCACGGAGTCCCGTGCCCGGCACGCTCATGGGGTGTATGGCACACCATGTCTGGGGGCCACCAGCTGTGGGGCTGATGGAGTTGTGCCACAGGGCGAGCAGTTCGTGTACCGGGAGGACTGGGGGGAGGCACTGAGCACCCGCAGCGTGCCTGTCCTCTGCGTCCTGGACCTGGAGGGCAGCAGCCTCTTGGTGCTGGAGGGCATCCCGGGGCACCTCTCTCCCGGCCAGGTCAGGATGGGGGGCAGGGAGAGCCCAGGGGGTGGGTTGGGGGGCAGCCTGGGGGGCTGTGGGACAAGCCTGGCTGTCACACAGGCCCTGTGGTCCCCGGATGACCGCGGCGTGGTGTTCGTGGGCTGGTGGCACGAGCCCTTCCGCCTGGGGCTGAGAGCTTGCTCCAACAGGAGGTGGGTCCCCCCTCCAGCATCCTGGGCACGGTGGGGGTCAGCCTGGCCGTGGGGCTCCAGCCTGACCCACGCCTCCTCTCTAGGTCAGGGATTTTCCACTTGGACCTGGCCAGCGGGCGCTGCGGTGAGCACCGGGGCCGCAGGGGATGCCCTGGGGGGGTCCCTGCCGTGCTGACCCCCCCTGTCACCCCCAGAGCTGCTGTCGGCTGAGCACAGCGCCGCCTGCTCCCCACGGCTCAGCCCCGACGGCCGGCGCCTGCTCTACCTGGAGGGGGATGTGGGGGGGCCCCACCGGCAGTGCCTGCGCCTCTGCATGGTGAGAGGGGCACGGCTGTGCCACCCTGCACTCGCTGGTGTGGTACCCAGCCTGGCACATCCCAGTGCCTGGCTGGGGTAGGGGGGAGCTCGATGCCCAAGCCCCCCTGCCTCAGTTTCCCCGGCGGGGGTGCCACCCCTGACCACCATCTCTCCCCAGCTCACCTGGCAGACAAGGCAGACGGTGACGGTGCTCGATGTGGTGCAAGAGCCCACAGAGGGTGAGGGGTGGCACCGTGGGCAGGGCTGGGTGCTGCTGGGGGGGCTGGGACACCCCTCTCCACCCCCAATGCTGGGTGCCCACAGCTCGGGTTCACTAGCCCTCTGCCCCACTCACAGCCTTCGCTGGGCTCTACGCAGAGGTGCTGCCACCCCGGTGCTGGGCGGCTGACAGCCGGCGAGCCGTGGTGGGCACCCCGCAGCGGAGCCGCATGGTGAGCCCTGGGGACAGGGGGGGACAGGGACATGGCCCCTGTGCTCCATGGTGACGTGGCTGCCCGTGCTCAACCCCTTGCAGGACCTGCTGCTCGTGGACACGGAGACGGCCACCGTCACCAACCTGACGGCAGGTACGTGGCACTGGGCTGCCCGCGGTGCCCTGGTGAGCATCTTCAAGCACCAGCGTGCTCTCTGTCCCCAGGGTCGCCCGAAGGGTGCTGGGAGCTGCTCACCCTCCAGTGGGACCTGCTGGTGGCCACATGCTCGGCCCCAAATCGCCCCCCGAGCCTGGTGAGCAGAGCCCTGGCGCTGCATGGCACTGCATGATATGGCATGGCAACGTGCAGCCAGGCACAGCAAAGAGTGGGGTGGCACAGCTTGGGCATGGGGTGGCATAGGGTTGGCATGGCATGGGACAAGTTTGGCACGGCGTAGTAAAGCATGGCTTGGTGAGGCACAGCCAGCGACAGCATGGCATTGCAGGGCACAGTGTGGCAAGGAACAGCAGACCTTGACACAGCATGGCGTGGCCAAGGACAGCATGGCATGGCACCGGGTGGTGTGGCAAGGAACAGCAGACCTTGGCACAGCATGGCATGGCCAAGGACAGCATGGCATGGCACCGGGCAGTATGATCAGGCACAGCATGGTGTGGCCAAGGACAGCATGGCATGGCACCGGGCGGTACGACACATCCATGCATGGCATAGGACAGCACCAGAGCACTGGGACTGTGAGCACAATGGGGGCAATGACACCCTGGCAGTGGCTAGCTGCCCTGGGGCATGGGTGCCACCCACTGCCTGTCCCCAGGTGGTGGCCGTGTTGCCACCGGCAGGTCAGGAGCTGCCCCTCTGCTGGGTGCCTGTGGAGGACACCCCAACGGTGCCTGGTGTCACCTGGAAGACCCTGACGATCCAGCCACCCTGCGGTGGGCAGACCCCAGCCACGCATGGTGAGTGCCCGGGGTCCCCACCCTACCTGGGTGCCGGGGACCCTCAGGGATGGGCAGGGTGTTGGGTGCCCAGGGTGGTGGGTGCTGAGTGGGACCCCCTCCCTGGTTCAGGCACCCAGGCTTTCCAGGCCCTGCTGCTGAGCCCACCGGATGGCACCGCACCACACCCCCTGGTCGTGTGCCCCCACGGTGAGTGAGGGGATGGCGGGGACACCCTGGCAGTGCTGGTGGCACCCTGGGTGACATTCCCACCGGCCCCAGGTGGCCCCCATGCTGTCTTCGACGCCCGCTGGCGCCCAAGCATGGCTGCGCTGTGCCAGCTGGGCTTTGCCGTGCTCTTGGGTGAGTGCCAGGGAGCCAGGGGACATGTGGTCCCTGTGCCCCACTGGAGAGGTGGCACCCATGGTCTCCATCTCCCCAGTGAACTACCGCGGCTCCCTGGGCTTCGGCCAGGCCAGCATCAGGTCCCTGCTCTCCCGGGTGGGTGAGCAGGATGTGGCGGACACCCAGGTGAGGGGCACTGGGCTGGTGGGGTGCTGATGGTGAGTGGGGTCTGCTGGGAGGATGCTGGTGTGGGGTGCTGATGGTGGGAAGATGCTGGGAGAATCCTGTGGTGGGGTGCTGATGGTGGGAGGATGCTGGGAGGATGCTGATGGTGGGAGGATGCTGATGTGGGGTGCCGATGGTGGGAGGATGCCGATGGTGGGGTGCTGATGGTGGAAGGATGCTGCTGGTGGGGTGCTGATGGTGGGGTCTGCTGGGAGGATGCTGATGGTGGGAGGATGCTGATGGTGGGAAGATGCTGGGAGGATCCTGTGGTGGGGTGCTGATGCTGGGAGGATGCTGGGAGGATGCTGATGGTGGGGTGCTGATGGTGGGAGGATGCTGTTGGTGGGGTCTGCTGGGAGGATCCTATGGCAGGGTGCTGATGGTGGGAGGATGCTGATGTAGGGTGCTGATGGTGGGGTCTGCTGGGAGGACACTGATGGTGGGAGGATGCTGACATTTGGCTGCTGGCATTTGGGTGCCCCACGGGTGCAGCTGGCGGTGGAGCAGGCGCTGTGCAGCGAGCCCCTGGACCCGCACCGCCTGGCCCTGCTGGCTGGCTCCCACGGAGCCTTCATCGCCCTCCACCTCCTCGCCCGTGAGCCCCAGCGCTACCGAGCCTGTGCCCTGCGCAGCCCCGTCTCCAACCTGCCCGCCCTGCTGGGCACCTCTGACATCCCGGACTGGTGAGTGCCACCCCACTACCCTGTGCCGTGCCACAATCCCCACGGCACCCACCAGCACCCCCGTGCCGCAGGCGCTACGTCTCCCTGGGGCTGCCCTACTCCTTCGAGCGGGTGCCCCGCGCCGAGGAGGTGGCCACCATGCTGCTGCGCTCGCCCATCGCCCAGGCAGCCCGGGTAAGGCAGAGGCAGGTCGGGTTGGGGGGGTGATGGGTGGGGGGTGATGGGTGCTGGACACCCACCGCCGGCTGTGCCGCAGATGCTGGGAGGATCCTGTGGTGGGGTGCTGATGCTGGGAGGATGCTGGGAGGATGCTGATGGTGGGGTGCTGATGGTGGGAGGATGCTGTTGGTGGGGTCTGCTGGGAGGATCCTATGGCAGGGTGCTGATGGTGGGAGGATGCTGATGTAGGGTGCTGATGGTGGGGTCTGCTGGGAGGACACTGATGGTGGGAGGATGCTGACATTTGGCTGCTGGCATTTGGGTGCCCCACGGGTGCAGCTGGCGGTGGAGCAGGCGCTGTGCAGCGAGCCCCTGGACCCGCACCGCCTGGCCCTGCTGGCTGGCTCCCACGGAGCCTTCATCGCCCTCCACCTCCTCGCCCGTGAGCCCCAGCGCTACCGAGCCTGTGCCCTGCGCAGCCCCGTCTCCAACCTGCCCGCCCTGCTGGGCACCTCTGACATCCCGGACTGGTGAGTGCCACCCCACTACCCTGTGCCGTGCCACAATCCCCACGGCACCCACCAGCACCCCCGTGCCGCAGGCGCTACGTCTCCCTGGGGCTGCCCTACTCCTTCGAGCGGGTGCCCCGCGCCGAGGAGGTGGCCACCATGCTGCTGCGCTCGCCCATCGCCCAGGCAGCCCGGGTAAGGCAGGGGCAGGTCGGGTTGGGGGGTGATGGGTGGGGGGTGACGGGTGCTGGACACCCACCGCCGGCTGTGCCACAGATGCAGACACCGGTGCTGCTGTGCGTGGGTGCCCGGGACCGGCGCGTCAGCCCCACGCAGGCGCTGGAGCTTTACCGGGTGCTGCGGGCCAGGGGGGTGCCGGCACGGTGAGTGTGGTGCGGGGGGGGGAGGGAGCCCTGGGGTGCCCACTGAGCATCCCCCCATCCCATGCCCCATCCCATCCCACCCCACAGGCTGCTGTGGTACCCGGAGGGTGGCCACGCGCTGGCCGGCGTGGAGACAGAGGCTGACGTCTTTGGGAACTGTGCACGGTGGTTCCTCCAGCACCTGGGGCAACCTCGGCGGGACAGGACGGGCCAGCACAGCCCCTAGGACCGCGGTGGCCCCGTGGCTGTGCCAGCCTCAGGGTGACCGCTGGCCCTGGGGACCACAGCAGGACCAGAGGAGGATGGAGCGAGCGTAGCCGGGGGCAGGAGGGGATGTGGGTTGGGGTTTGGCGCGAAATAAATGTGTGAGACCTTGTGCAATGCCAACCCCCCCCACCCCAGGGTGTTTATTTCGTGACGGCAGCTGTGCCAGGCTCAGCCCATCTTCATCCCCTTGTGGATCCAGTCGACGTAGAGGGAGACGCGGATGAAGAGGGCGGGCTGGTCGGTGCGGGCGCAGACGCGGGAAGGGGTGATGACCCCCTCCAGCACCCAGCAGTCGGCGGTGAGGCAGGCCAGGGGACCCCCGTAATCCCCCTGCGGCAACGCGGGGAGCGATGTCACCCTGGAACACCGGCCCCCATGGGCTCCCCGGGATGGGGGGGTCCCCAGCCCCCCTGGCTCACCTCGCAGGCCCCCACGCCGGCGCGCAGTGGGGCGGTGCAGAGCTCGCTCTCCTTCAGGCGCCCGCGCAGCGCCACGTTGCACTCGCCGTGGGCCAGCACTGGCAGCCGTGCCACGTTCAGCACGCTGCTGTCCCCCATGCCTGTGGGCAGCGAGCATGGGGGCAGGGGGTGCAGGGGTGGGGGTGGCATGGGAAAGGGGGAGGGAGGGTGGTGGTGTGGGCAGGGGGATGCCGTGACATGGGGATGGCAGGAACAGGGGGATGGCAGGGGGATGTCGTGGGCAGGGTGAAGCTGTGGAAGAGGGATGCCATGGGGAGGGGGATGCTGTGGGCAGGGGAATTCTGTTGCTGGGGAATGGCAAGGGCAGGAAAATGCCATGGAAGGGGATGCTCTGGAAGGGAGATGCCATGGATGGGAGATGCTGTGAGTGAGGGGATGCTGGGGGGACCTGGGGATGCTGTGGGCAGGGGGATGCTATGGGCAGGGGATGTTATGGGCAGGGAGATGCCACAGACATGGGGATGCTGCAGGCATGAGATGCCATTGCGGGGAAATGGCATGGGCAGGGGGATGTCATGGAATAGGGATGCCATGGAGAGGGGGATGCTCTGGGTAGGGGACACTGTTGCTGAGGAATGGCACAGGGAAGGAAAATGCCATGGAAGGGGATGCTCTGGAAGGGAGATGCCATGGATGGGAGATGCTGTGAGTGAGGGGATGCTGGGGGGACCTGGGGATGCTGTGGGCAGGGGGATGCTATGGGCAGGGGATGTTATGGGCAGGGAGATGCCACAGACATGGGGATGCTGCAGGCATGAGATGCCATTGCGGGGAAATGGCATGGGCAGGGGGATGTCATGGAATAGGGATGCCATGGAGAGGGGGATGCTCTGGGTAGGGGACACTGTTGCTGAGGAATGGCACAGGGAAGGAAAATGCCATGGAAGGGGATGCTCTGGAAGGGAGATGCCATGGATGAGAGATGCTGGGAGTAGGGGGATGCCAGGGGGACCTGGGGATGCTGTGGGCAGGGAGATGCCATGGATGTGGGGATGCTGCGGGGAGGAGGGGAATGGCATGGGCAGGGGATGTGTTGGGCAAGGGATGCCATCGTGGGGTCGCCCTGGCCAGGGCTGCCCCGCAGCAGGTACCTTTGGTCTCCCCCCAGCCGGCGATCTCACAGACGGTGCCCGCAGGCACGATGTAGCGCTCGGGTGGCAAGCAGATGAGGGCCACACGCTTGTTCAGAGTAGCTGGCCTGGGGCGAGAGGGGCACCGGGATGTGGTGCCAGCCTGGCTGGAAGCAGGGCATGGCAGGGACAGGGGTATGGCTGCTCACCTCGCCAGTTTGAGCATCACCAGCTGGGACTCGGAGGGGCCACAGACAATCCGGACGATGGGAATGGTCTGCTTGTCAGGGTCCCCAGGGCCAGGGTCCTTGAAGAGTGTCCCCAGCTGCACCTCGTAGCCCACCAGGTCGGCGTCACTGTGGGATGGGGACATGAGGGCATGGAGGGCTCCCAGCACCCGGTGCTCCAGCCACAGCCTTACCAGGAGGAGAAGCACTGGCGTGTGCTGATGACCCACTGCTCCTTCACCAGGGACCCCCCGCAGAAGTGCATGCCAGCCCTGCAGGGACGAGGGGGTGAGCTCCTGGGGGTGGGGGGGACGTCACCCGGATGGCAGTGGCAGCAGGGTGCCCCCTCACCGGTTGCGGATGCTGACGGTCCAGGGCGAGTTGCCGGGCTGGCCACCGACGATGCGCCCTTTCCGCTGCAGCCTCTCGTCCCGCCGGCCGCACTGCTCAAACGCCACCACGTCTGCCGGCAGGATGGGCATCAGCCGGGGCTGTGCCACCAGCACCCACCCCACGGCACCCACCCGGCACCCACCGGGACCCCACCTGCGTTCTCCAGGACAGAGGGCACTTTGCTGCCAGCTGCGGAGAGAAAGCAGAGGGGTGGGATCCAACCACCCTAAGGGGGACCAAAATCACCCCGGGGGGTGGCCAGAGACACCCTCCCCAGCAGTGCAGGGGCGCGGGCAGGGGCTCACTGCAGGGTTTGATGGCGCAGTAGTCGAAGGGGGTGCGGGGGTCCATGGTGTAGCACCAGGGGCCGTGGCTGTCGTTATCGGGGTTGCGGCAGTAGTTCTCCTCCAGGTGTGCCTCGGGGTGGGTGACAGGCGAGATCCTGCCGGGAGGAAGACACCATCACCGTCACCATCCCGATCCCCATCCCCAATCCAACCCCATCCCCACACGCCACACTCCCTCGCACACTCACTGGGGCACGTGGGGCGCCTGGGCAGCCCACGGCTGGCAGGTGATGCCCTTGCGTGTCTTGCTGACATGGCCGTGGTAGTGCTCCCCGTGGCCGTGGTAGCACTCTGGGGACAGGTAGAGAGGGCTGGCACCCCTGGCAGGCAGGCAGGCACCCTAGGGGTGGGTGCCCGGGGTGGGGGTAGTTCACCTTGGGCATCCAGCTCGTCAGGGCAGCGGCGGATTTGGAAGCAGAAGGCGATGCGGATGGTGGGGCGGGCAGTGAAGCACCACGGTGCCTCTGAGCCATCGGGGTTGCGGCAGTAGTTCTCCTGCAGGTCCCTGGCGGAGGGGCCATGTGGGTGCCCCCCACCCCTCCCTGAGACCCAGCAGGCACCCATGGGTGCTGCCCACCCAGGCCACATCCTCCCCCTCTCACCCCCTTACTTGCACGGGTACTTCTCGGGCACAAAGTGGTGCTGGTGGGGGGTCTGGGCGTCCCAGCGCTGGCAGGGGATCCCCAACACGGTGATGTTCACCCGGCCCCGGTAGCCTTCGCCCTTGCCCCTGAAGCAGCCGGTGGTGAGGTTGAGGGGCCGCGGACGTTTCTCTGCTTGCATGGCAGGAGCAGGGTCAGAGCGGCAGGGTTAGGGGTGGCACCCCAGACACCCACAGAATCACAGAATCTTCATGGTTGGAAGGGACCTTTGAGATCTTTGAGTCCAACCACAAAAAAAAAAAACCACCCCAAAACCCAAACCCCTCCAAAACAAAAAACAAACAAACTCCAAAAAAAACCCCACAAACAGACACAACACAACAATGCTGGGCACTAGAGCATGCCCTGAAGTGCCACATCTACATGTTTCTTAAATACCTCCAGGGATGGTGACTCCACCACCTCCCTGGGAAGGTTGTTCCAGTGCCTGAGCACCCTCTCAGTAAAGTAATTCTTCCTAATATCTCATCTAAACCTCCCCTGATGCAACTTCAGACCATTTCCTCTGCTCCTGTCATTATTCCCGTGGGAGAAGAGGCCAACCCCCACCTCTCTACACCCTTCTTCCAGGGAGTTGCAGAGGGCAATGAGGTCTCCCCTCAGCCTCCTCTTCTCCAAACTCAACATGCCCAGTTCCTTTGGCCTCTCCTCATAGGACTTTGTTCTCTAGACCCCTCACCAGCTTGGTGGCTCTCCTCTGGACACGCTCCCACCCCAGTCCCATCCCACGCGGTGACGCCGGCAGGCACTTACTGCAGAGGCGGATGCGGCAGTACTCGCGCTCCCGCCCGGGGTCGGTGGTGTAGCACCAGGGCCGCTCGGAGCTGTCGGGGTTGCGGCAGTAGTTGTCATCCAGCCCTTTGTCGGGGTACCTGGTCCAGCAGACGGGGAGCAGGGGTTGGGGGTGGCACCATCGCCCCGGCACCTGGCACGGCCGGGGAGGGGGGCTGCGTTTCGCCCAGGAGGGGCCAGGGGCTGGTACTTGTCGGGGTGGAAGGGGTGCTTGTGCGGGTGCTGCAGGTCCCAGCGCTGGCACTCGGTCCCCGACTCGGTGTGGTCTAGGGCCCCGCGGTAGTCCTCCCCGTTGCAGGTCATGCATACGGCTGCCGACAGCCAGGGGAATCAGGGCTGGGGTGGGGGGGGGTCAGGGGGACACACACACAAGTGTTTTTTGCTGACGATGCAAAACTGGGAGGGGGGGTTGGCACCCCAGAGGGCTGGGCCACCATCCGGAGAGACCTGGGCAGGCTGGAGAGTTGGGAGAGGAACCTGATGGAGTTCCACCAAGGGCAGGTGTAGGTGCTGCCCCTGGGGAGGAATCACCCCCCAAACCAGGACAGGGTGGGGGTGACCTGCTGGTGAAAGACCTGGGAGTCCTGGTGGACACCAAGATGCCCATGAGCCAACGATGGGCCCTGGTGGCCAAGAAGGCCAATGGCATCCTGGGGGGCATCAGGAAGAGGGTGGAGAACCTTGAGGGAGGTCATCCTGCCCCTCTGCTCTGCCCTGGGGAGGCCCCAGCTGGAGCACTGGGACCAGTTCTGGGCTCCCCAGTTCAAGGAGGACAGGGAACTGCTGGAGAGGGGACAGCAGAGGCTACAGAGATGCTGAGGGGAGGAGAACATCTCTCTGGTGAAGAAAGGCTGAGGGACACTCACCATCCTCACACTTCTTGATGCCACAGCTCTGGTGCCGCACTTTGGGGTTGACGGTGTAACACCACGGGCCCCGCTTGTCCCGGTCGGGGTTTCGGCAGTAATTCTCCTCCAGCCCGTTGCGGGGGGACGGCAGGAACCTGCTGGCAGCAGGGTGGGTAGGAGCACTGCTGGGAGCCCCTCACCCCGGGGTGGGCACAGCCACGATGCTGTGCCACCCCTGCTCAGTGCCATTGCCCCACACCCTCCCCGTTGCCCCCACGCTGTCTCCACTGCCCCCACGCTGT